CTTGCCACTTGTCTTCGTCTGAAAACGTGGGCCTACCTTAGACTCACCACTTGACCACTTGCCGACCTTCTAGAAGGACTAAAGCTAGGCCTCTGTACTCTACTTGGACTCCTACCTTACAGGTCTACAGTTCGAATCTCCCTACAGCCTACAACCTACGGCGACCTACTTACCACTGGCTATCGTGCAGGTCACTGGTTCAACTCCAGGGAACTGTGCAGATACTGTACACAGGTAAGCTGAGGTCAGGGATCGACCCCTGGGATCTGCATCGGCTACTGCCAAAGGTGAAAACTGTTTCAATCAGAATAAAAAAAAAAAAAAAAGGAAAAAAAAAAGAACGGCATCAGAAAATGTCCATTGGACAGACCGCGGCTTTTAGAGCAGTTGGTATACCGGGTATACCCATAAACTGTTAAAATGCAGATCTGAGTTCGAATCCAGATGGGAACCACCAAACGAACGGAATTCCTGAATTACCTGCTACAGCCGGTCGGTTTCACAAGGATATCTCAAGGCCGTCGCTCTTTCCAAAAAAAAAAAAAAAAAAAAAAAAAGTCCATAGGTGGATAGGTACCGGTTCAAGGGTCAAAATGAGGCACATCATGCCTCCAGAGTCAAAAGTCAAAAGTCAAAAGTCAAAAGTAGGTTCTAGGAAAGTCAACAGTCAATCGCTAGCCAGGCACAGAAATCGAAGACAACTTAGAAAAGATTTCCCAACGTCAACAAGCACGGCCACAGATCTCACACAAATCCAAAGGCATCCAAAGGCTCAGTGCAGTCTCCAGGAAGTTTCCGGGGCCCACTGGGTTCAGGCACCACTTAGTACTGGCCGCGAGCAAATTTGGACAACGCAGATCGGGAAATCCCAGCCAGCCCTTTGACTGGAGGCAGGACAGGCCGCGTAAACACTACAAAAGAGGGGTCTGGCGCAACTCATGGATTCATTTCTGCCTCCAGCTGCTCAAAGTTCGCGTCGGTAAGGCATGCAAGTGGCATTCAGGAGGTCATGGGTTCAATCCTCGTGGGCCTCATGTACCACCTTCATGGGCAAGCTTGCCACCGACCACCTAGAGATTAGCCCGTTGCGCACTCCCCCCGAGCGGCATTAAGCAGCTACAGCTGATGTTCATAGGGGGAGGGGACCGGAGGGGAGGCACAGCGACTCTAGGCCCATCGAAGAAGCTCGGTCCTGATGCTTACCGGCTGACCCCTGGCCGGTATTCATTCTGCCTCACGCTGCTACAGAGCACAGGCCACAGTGATGAGCTACAGTGTGGTGCTACAGTGTGAGTGTGAGAGGCGGCAGACAGCGACAGAGAGAGGCTGCCATAGCTAGAGTGAGAGAGTGTGGTAGCCATACCCTGTAGAAGGTGCTGAAGCACCATAGCTACAAGAGAGAGAAGAGGGGACACTTGAGGTAGAGTCTCCACGGCTTGCGGGGAAGACGAAGCTCTCACCTGGAGGGAGTGGCAACTTGAGAGCGTTCAGCCATAGCTTCCTCCAAGCCTTAGAGCTGTGCACAGAAAGACTGGCTGAACAGAAAGAAGACAAGTGGTCGCACGGGCTGCACATTCTTCGTCCAAGACTTAACAGATGGTGTCGTGGGCCAGAGATCGTCTAGTAGCATCATAAAGAGGAGGCTCAGGGATGGAGATAGGAAGGAGGAGATACCCCTTGAGCAATGATTGGCAAGAAGGTTTAGGAATCTTACCCGTCGACTACGGTAACGTCCATACCTACCTGAGGAGGAAGACTCCAAGGGGAGTGAGACCAGTGTCCATCATCCCATACTTCATCCTGCTGGTGCTTGTGCTACACAGAGAGAGAGAGAGAGTGGCACTTGTGCTACCGTCTTCAAGCGAATAGAACGCCCGGCCATTATATACGTATGTTCGGCAACTTTCCATCCAGATGCAGCCAGAATGGCCGGCCGTTCGCTTCGGGTGAAGACAGTACTCAGGTTAGGGGATGAGATGGAAGGCCACCATAGCTTCAGGTAGGCAATGTGGTCATGATTTAGGGGAAGAAGACTCCATGCTGCCACAGAAGAGGACATTGTCATTCCGCGTTCCAGCTTCAATTGTACGAAGCCTGGAATAGCTGGAACGCCGCATCGCCAGTGCTGTCGGGGAGTTGACTTGGCATGCGACACATTGTGTCCAGACTGCGGCCAAAGAGTCGAGAGATACGAAAGCCATTGGCCATTGGGCATTGGGCCATTGAGGTGGTGAGGAAGGAAGGATTCATGTGGAATAAGAGGGAGCAGCCTCAACACAGGATATTCATTGTTTCCATGCTTTTGATGATCTTCTTCTTCAAATAGTCTTATCTTTCTTTATCCATTTCTTTTTTTTTCTTCTGTGTCGCAATTTGCTTGTTATCATTGAGATGAGCAGCGTGTGTTCATCTAAAATTTGATTGAAAGGTTCCGCAGTTGGGGTCATTGCAAACCCTTTACCGTGCCTCTCACGTACAAGGGATATACACGCTTTAGAGTTTCGTCACAGGTACCTTCAGGGCAGTGGTTGGTGGTCCCCACCACCTCAGGGTAGCAGTTGTCGGGCAATCATTGGCTACCGGTGTTAAGGTGGGTCGTCGCTTACAGCATCGACGGTTAGGGGACTCTGCAGACTGTAGAGGGTTCAGCCTCCCGATGAGTCGGTGAAACTCTGATGAAACAGTATGTCACAGCCCCTCGTTTGTTGTCCTCTTCTCCCTCTCTGCCTGTTCACCGGGCAGTTCTGTTTGACGATATATGTATATATATATTGTCACAAGAATATCAGAGCGCAAATGCGAAAAAAAGAAAAAAAGAAAGAAAAACAAGAAAAAATGAATTCAATTTTTTATCTTCTTCCTTATAACTCCCCCTGTTCAGAACCTCTTGCGTACAACGCCGCCCACGTGTACAAGCACCGCCCTGCGCTCAAAGGGCCGAACAACGGGAAACAACCAACCAGGATACCAAGACAATAACACCACCCCCCGCCCCTATGATTGGTCCCACATGAAGCACCGCTACCTGCACCAACATAGACCGAATAACGGGACAAAACCAACCGGGATGCGACCGAATAACGGGACAAAATCAACCGGGATGCAGACAAGATTACCATAACAAATCTACCATATCCATAGTAAAAAAAAACCGGAACCATACAGTAGGCCCGCAAAACGAAACACCCCAGCAACGGGGAAGAATGAGCAACACAGGAAAATGTGGGATGATAGGACGATGATTCAGGCTATTTTCGACGCAAACGAATTCTTACGTGCATTGTCATATACATAGTCAAACAAAGCTGCCCGGTAAACCATAGGCAGAGAGGGAGGGAGAAGAGAAGAGGAAAACAAACGAGGGGCTGTGACAAACTGTTTCGTCGGAGTTTCACCGACTCGTCAGGAGGCTGAACCCTATATATGGATATATCATCAAACAGAACTGCCCCGTAAACCGTAGGCAGAGAGGGAGAAGAGGACAACAAACGAGGGGCTGTGACAAACTGTTTCGTCGGAGTTTCACCGACTCATCAGGAGGCTGAACCCATATACATACATACATACATACATACATACATACATACATACATACATACATACACACGTACATACATGCATGCATACAATCATGCATGTAGACATACACACATACATACATACATACACACATACATATATACATACATACATACATACACACATACATACATGTAGACATACACACATACATACATACATACACACATACATATACACATACATACATACATACACACATACATATACACATACATACATACATACACACATACATATACACATACATACATACATACACACATACATACATGCATGCATACAATCATGCATGTAGACATACACACATACATACATACATACACATACATACATACATACATGCATGCATACGTACCACTTTTGTGCGTGAGATGCGGTTGACTATGGCCTCCACCTCTTTCTGTAACTTTGCCTTTCTGAGCTCCTCAGACTCAGCTTGATCATCATCAACTTTCTTCACTTCTTGAGGTCCCGCTTCCTGGAGCATGCATGCATGCATTGCACAGTTACAAGAACAGAAGAGACAATATAAAAAAGATGGAAACATTAAAAAAAAAGGGGGAAGGAAGACGACCATAAACACCAATTCCGAAAAAAAAAAAAAAAAAAAAAAAAGGCTAGGTCGGAAAGTCCAAGCCTGATTTGGGCCCCCCCTTATATGCATTCATTCAGCCAAATGACAATAAGGGCGACTGCCTGCCTCTGAGGACTGAATTAATCACCTCTAGTTAGCAGAGTTAGACGAGGTTTGAGAGATGAACTAACCTAACCTAACCTGACCTACCTCGATTTAGCAGAGCCAGCTGAGTTTTGAGAGCTGAACGCACCTAACTGACCTCTCTACCTTCTTCACCCGAATGCAACCTACGGTCATTATAGCTCCACTTGGGGTACCTTCAGTCTTAAACCACCCAGTACACCACACATTGGCCCGCGGGTGTCAGCTCGAGACCCGCACTACTTCGGAGGCCGCCGATTTTTTTTTTCCAACAGCGCCCCACGCCGCGCGGCCCCTCCGAGTCTTGCTTGTGGCAACAAAAACTTTCTGCAAGGCTGGGGCTGTGTACTTGCGGTTTAAACCACCAGTACTTGGCCCAGCTATCGATGCCGAGGAAAAAAATATTGTAAAAACGTTTCTAGTCAGATGAATTTGGGCGCTCCTGTAGTGGCCTGTACGTTTCCTAAAATTGTTGTGGCTTGTTAATGGGCACGACTTTAGCAAGCGCTGGTGGTTTCAAGTACACAGCCATAATGACCGTACGTTGTATTCGGGGGGTAGTTTAGCTGAGTCAGCTGGTCTTTGACGGATGAACTGACCCAACTAACCTCCAGTTAGCAGGGCTAGCTGACCTTTGAGGGCTGAACTACAACCTAATTATAACCTTTAGCTACCGTCTTCACCCGAATAGAACGCCCGGTCATATTCACTGTATCTAGAATGCCAAGTACCGCTATAATGACCGCGCGTTCTATTCGGGTGAAGACGGTAGCAGAGTTAGCCGACATTTGAGTGCTGAGCTAACCTAACTAGGTACCGGGCCTGCCGTCTTCACCCGAATTGAACGCCCGGTAATTATCGCCGTAGCTGGGCTGAAAGTTGTGCCAAATAGCACTACAATCACCGGGCGTTCTATTCGGGTGAAGACGGTAGCTGAACTTCGATAGACGAACTAACCCAAACCTCCAGTTCGCAGAGTTACCTGTCCTTTCTTGAGGGCTGAACTACTAATTATTAGTAATTAGTAATTACTAATTAGTAATTAGTAATTAGTAATTAGTATTAGTAATAGGTAAAAATTAACTTTTACTTGGCAGAGTTACCTCTCGCCTTTTGATGGCGGAACTACTGACAGATCAGCTAAATTTATTTAGCCGACCCAAGCTGTCGAGTCGACCAAGGAAATCGGGAGGCAAGGAAACCGCGGCGTGGACTGGTATATACCTCCAGCAACATCGCCCCGGTCTACAGAGACGAAGTAAAAACCAGTGGAACGGAAAACAAGGAGGCACGCACACAGACAATGGGCCTCACTCCACTACTCTCCACATGCACAAAAAAACAAAAACAAAATGGCGGTGTATCTTTCCATGTTCTAGCGGACGATTCATTCTCACGTGTTGCACATTTCGTGAGTAGGTGGAGCGAGGCCTAATGTCATCCTGTAAAAATCAAGGATGAGCACCTTGTTCGTTTCTTTTCCCTTCTATTTTTTTTTTTTTTTTTCTTCGTGAAAGAAAAGAGTGAGCACTGAGGGGCTTGTTGTTATTAATTTAAAAATTAAAACTGCAGTTACTGCGCAAAAAAAGGGTTTCACTCTCAATTGAAAAGCAACAAGAACATATACGATCATAAATAAACTTAAATAACAGCAACCAAAAAAATCAGAGAAAAAGACCACCAAAGTTCAATCAACTTTATCAAAGACATAAACGAAAAGCAAGAAGGCTTACAGATACGACTGCTTATCATCAACAATGATCTCTCTCTCTCTCTCTCTCTCTCTCTCTCTCTCTCTCTCTCTCTCTCTCTCTCTCTCTCTCTTTCTCTCTCTCTCTATCTATCTATCTATCTAT